ATGACCTTCAGATTCCCATCCTTCCTCCTTTGCCTGGAGACTCTTACTGGCAATGACTCATCTGTTGGCAGAGGTTTATTCTTAGCAATTACAGACTTAGCATGAATGTTTAAATACCATCAAAAATATTATGATATTTTAAAGTACATTAATGCAACGTTGGTACAATTTGTGAAATTCAGAACCATCAAAAAAGAGTATCAGATGAAAACTTAATCCTACTTTCTGCCTTAGTGTCATACAGGAAACTCATACTGGACTATGAATTATATTAGACACAGCCTCAGAGAAATGGCCTGTGTTCATGGCTAGTCACCAGCTGCCTTGATTCTAAAACCCAGTGCCACTCTTTAAAATCCTGAATCCTTTTGACAACGTCCACAAAACAAAACAAAAAAGCACCATCACCACCTACAAACAAAACAAAACAAAACAAAACAAAACAAAACAAAACAAAACAAAACACAATCATCCTTCTTTTTTGAAAAGATGAAACGTTCAGTTTTGGAAGCAGACATTCTGTGAAAACATTTTTTGCACTTCTCTTTCTCATTTTATTATCCTCATGCTTGTGCATAATCTCCACCATTTTGTTCTCTTCACTAAAGAATTATTTTCTGCCTTGTGTCCAATTTGTGTCTAGCATTCTTTTAATACAGAGAGTTCTGACTTAAACCTCAACTTTGAGATGAATCTGATTGGCTTTTCAAGAAGCTACTGTCCTGCTCATTCTACTTACTCTACTCCTCAATTTATTTATTAGCTTATATATTCTGATGGACACACTGATTTGTTTCAATGCAGAATAAAATGAATCAGTCTCAAGACTGTATTAAACCCGCAGCTGAACAAAAATGAGAACAACCCAAACCATTCAAGACCAATTGGATTGCTCCACTGGGTCCATTCGGTCTTGCTCCTCAACTGCTGGTTATCGATTCCCTGCTAAAGATAGCAACTTTCACAGTCAAAGGAGCAGAACAGAAAATCTTAGGTGTTTCAGGTGAGTATTCTAGAGTAGAGTCCTATGCCTGTGTATCAAAAGGGAACAACACGGTTCTTCCCACTCCTTCCCATTTGCACACTCCTGCTTTCTATCATGCATCTATCATAGATCTGTGCAGTCACAAACTGAGCTGGTTCAGACTTGCAGTCTACTTCACTCTGCAAATGGAAAGTCACTAGACTCATTGCAGCAATCAGGATGAGAAAGTGCAAAATGAGACATCCTTTTAACAAAAGCCTGTAGTTATATTGATTAAAGGAAACTATCCTCACTGCAAACCTACTCTCATGTTTATTTCATAATCCTTTTGAAGATCTTTGCTATGCTTCAGGGTAAGCTGTTTTTGTTGTTATTTGTTTTCCTAAGTGCCTTAATCACACTGCACGTAAAAACAATGGAATCATGATAATTTTGCATTTATAAAAGGTTAATTCCTTTTCCATTTTTAAAAAAGCTTTTTGGCACTTTTCTCACAGTCATTATTGGTGTACTGAAAACTAAAACTCTGCTACACGAAAAATCTCTAAGGATCTGTGTGACCTTTTTATTTTGCAAAGAGATAAAACAAAACCTAGTAAACGATATGAAACAAATTCTCAACATATCTATCTAAATATTTGATTCAGTGACAGAATTATATACTTTATAGCACAGCAGGAAGGAGTCATCTAATTCTTGACAATTTTCATATTTGAAAAATCATAGCTGCCAGATGAAGTGCCTGATGACTGGAAAAAGGGAAACATCACTCCCATTTACAAGAAAGGGAGAAAGGAAGCCCAAGGAACTACAGGCAGATCAGCCTCACGTCAGTGCCTAGGAAGATCATGGAACAGATCCTCCTGGAAGACACGTTAATGCACATGAGGGATGAGCCAGTGATCCAGAACAGCCAGCATGGCTTCACCAAGGAAAGATCATGCCTAGCCAATCAGGTGGCTTTCTATGATGGAGTGACAGCATCAGTGAACAAAGAGAAGGCAACTTACGTCATCTACCTGGACTTCAGCAAAGCCTTTGACATGGTCCCCCACCACACAAGAGATATGGATTTGAAGGGTGGACTGTTCAGTAGATAAGGAATTGGTTCAAAGGTCACAGTCAGAGTATTGTGGTCAATGGCTCTACATCCAGGTACAGGCTGGTAATGAGTGGCATCCCCCAGCGGTCCATCTTGAGACTGGTACTCTTTAATAACTTTATCAGTGACATACATGATGGGTCCATACACACATACATCCTCAGCAAGTTTGCTGATGACAGTAAGCTGAGTGATGCAGTTGATGCAGCAGAAGGAAGGGATGCCATCCAGAGAGACCTGGGGAAACTTGAAGTATGGGCCTTTGTGAACCTAATGAGGTTCAACAAAGAAAATGTGAGGTTTTGCATTTGGGTCGAGGTAATTCCAGGTATGTATACATACTGGAAGAGGAACTCCTTGAGGACAGCCCTGCTGAGAAGGACTTGGAGGTCCCAGTTGGTGAAAAAATGCTTGTGAGTCAACAGTGTACGCCTGCAAACCAGACGGCCAATGGTATCCTGAGTTCCATTCCGATGGAATCAGAATGGAGGAGTGACCAGCAGGGTGTGGGTGAGGGAGGTGATTGTCCCCCACTACTCTGCCCTTGTGAGGACCCAGCTGGAATACTGAGTCCAAGTCTGGTGCCCCCTGCACGGGAAAGATTTGGAGCTTCTGAAGAGGGTTCAGAGGAAGGCCATGAAGGTGATCCAAGGACTGAACCAGCTCTCCTTTGAAAACTCGGCTTGTTCAGCCTAGAAAAGAGAAGGCTGCACGGAGACCCCACTGTGGCCCTCCAATATTTAAACGGAGTTTATGAACATGCGGGAAATCAACCTTTTACTCAGGTAGAAAGTAATAGGACAAAGGGGAATGGTTTTAAACTAAAGAAAGGGAGATAGGTAACATACAGGGGGAAGTTTTTTACTGAGAGAGTGGTGAGGTGCTGGTACAGGTTGCCCAGAGAGGCTCTGGATGCCCATCCCTGGAGGTGTTTAAGGCCGCAGTGGATGGGGCCCTGGGCAAACTGATCTAGCACTTGATCTAGCAACTGGCAGCCCTGCCCACAGCTGAGGGGTTGGAACTTGATGATCCTTGAAGTCCCTTCCAACCCAAGCCATTCTACGATTCTGCAATCCTATGATTCTTCTGCTAGAAATTAAAATGCAGGTGTTCCTTTCACTACTTTATTAGAAGTTAATTACTAAGTATTCACACTTCTATTTGTCCTTAAGATATCTATCAAAAACAAAAACACGCTTCTTTGGCACTCCTTTTATTCCCTGCATATCGTAACAGCCAATACAGAATTCATGTCCAAGTAAGAGGAAACAGGACCATGCAAAATCATGCATAATCCCTCTTCAACACAATGATCTAATTCTACATGCCCTTGCTCTTTTGTCACTTACTATACTGAATCTTTCATATTCCTATGCAACATTGCCCCCTCTAACTAAAATTCCCAGTTTCACCTGTCTCTATAGGGGAAAGCTTGGACTATAACACTGATGAGAAGTGCTTCCTGTTATTACAAAGAGTAGAAGGAAAAAACTGCGTAACACTCTACTCTTTCAAATCTTTGATGACATGTTTCTGATAACCACACAAATACAAGTTGCAGGAAAACAATCTGGAAATATCAAGAAAACAAAGGAAGTCATTCTGCAACATTTTTTTAAGCAAATAAGTTTTCAACAGTTCTTTAGTAGAGATTAATATGCAGAAATATATGTATAAATTACACTGAATTACAAATTACAGATTTTTCAACCACACAGATGAACTTCCCAGCATAATATGAAACTCCTTAAAAGATGAAAGCTTCCTTTTTCAGAGATACAGATACCTAAATTTAGATTTGGTGACAGAAAGAACATGGAGATAAAGAGTATTAAGTGGAAGGAGAGATAAAGGAGCAAAGATGTTGAATGGAGGGAGATAAAGCTACATATTACAGAAACTGAAAAAAGGCAAATGGCACATAATTTAAAGTAAAAGAGAAGAAACAAAGTATTGTATTGACACAATTTCTAAATGATTAGACAGAAATTGTTGCCTTATAATCAGACTCTCAAATGATGAAATACACAAATTAATTAATACACATTTTTATGCACCTCATCATGTTTCACTGCCATGGGCACACACCAATTGCCCATATGATTGAGTACCCCCACCTTTGCAAACCTTTTCTCCCACCCAGAGGCCTCGTTTGCCCTCTTCCCTTTACACTATTAGAAAATTAGAAACAAATAAAATATTTGAGAACATTATTTATATAAAATATAAAAGCTTTCTATTATTAATGACTTTTTTATGAACGTATAGTTTACAATACTTAAGCTAAAAAAGAGATTAATATCTAGAAATCATGTTGCTAATTCCTCTCTTCTTTTTTCTCCTGCTTTCTGTACTACTTCAGCCTTTCTCCAAGACTTACTGTTCCAATGTGAGCCCCACAACAAATTTTTCACCCTACTGCACTTAAACTGCTAAAGAACCAGTGCTTATCTTTAATTTTCTGGGTTTTTTTTTCTGAATATTTCTAGTAACTAACACACCTCAAATCCTATCCTTACTCTGTTTTCAGAATAAGAAGCTTCATACTTAGGCACTTTTATTTCTAAATTAAGAAGTATGCAACAGCCATATATTAAAATGTCTGATTTTACTTAATCTTTGATTGTGTTTTTGCAAAGTGGAGAGGCTAGAAAGCAATGCTCATTAACAAGCACCAGTATGACTGACTGCGCTGAAGGTGTTTACCCCATCCTTAGAGACATTCAAGGCCAGGCTTGATAGGTTCCTGGGCAGTCTGACCAAGTGGCTGGCAGGGGGTGCTGGAATTAGGTGATCTTTGAGGTCCCTTCCAACCCAAGCCATTCTGCAACTTTATGATTTATACATTACTTCCAGTTTTAAGATGCAACACTACTTACAACAAACATTAAATTCAATCTGAAAGGACTCTACCTTTAAACTGGACTCATAGTCTGTGTTCACTTTGAACATAAGTCCAAGTCGCAAATGAATTTCCTTGGCTCGACAAAAGCTGGGATCAACATAAAGCGCCTCCTGAAATGCTTTAATTGCCCTGAAAGACAAACAGATAAAAATATTAATTATTTTTTACTGAAGTATTACTTTTATAATTGCTAATCGTATGATGACTTAAAATTGAATCAGAAAGAATTGTTACTGAAAAACATATTGACGTAACAGTTTAAATGTTTTTGCTCCACTGCTTTTCATTCTTCAAGGGCTGGTTAATTTTGCATTCCAGACATCTTAATACATTTGAAAATCTAATCTTTTCATTTAACTTAACGCCTGAAACACAGTAACATATCTGCTATTTCAGAAAGGATGATTCAGGAATAAGTAACAAAATGAATTCAACTATAGAACAATACAGCATACAGTCATCATCCCTTTCAGAACTAAATCCTTGCTGGGTTGTTCTGATTGCAGATCACATAGATCCCTGAGAGCAGCGGCAGAATGTTAGGCCTGGAAGATCACACGCACCTCCTTGCATTGCCCAAACCTGCTCCATTTTCAATGTTGTTACTCCTTTTCTTAGCACTGACACCAATGTAGAGACTTACCTAATACCTATTACTTCCTTACATTCCAGTCACTTAGCTACCTCCAGGAAAACACAGACTGGACAGCCTGCCACCTCCTGTCACTGTAACTTGCTTATCATATTCCCATGATAGCTGAAGATAGCTCTGATTATTTATCTTTAAATCCTCTTTATAGATGCTCCTGTCCATGCTGACACAGGCCAGACAAAACAAAAGCACTATGGACTAGCTGTATGTTGGGGAAGAAGTATGACTCTAAACAAGATTGACACACCAGGTTTTGCTTCTCAGGCCAATTGCATAAAATTAGGACAGCTGAAATGAAGCTAAAAGATAACAGATTTAAATTCAGAGGAATTCAGAAAGAAGCTAAGACTCATCACATGTTAGCTCTCCTGAAATCAAGTGACTGGCTAAAAAGAAAAGATCCTCAAATACATCACAGCCCATACAATGGCAGAAATCAGGAATCTGTCACACTTAGGGCAGGATTCAAGCACCTATGCCAAGGAGACTAAGTCTCATTCTGTATGCTCCAGGCAATCACACTGGGCAAGGCTGGAGGGAGATCTACACCCTCTGGGGAGCAGCACATGGATGCTGGACAGGACACACAGTGTCAGAAGTCACATTATGGTCAGGAAAATTGATTTAATTTCCAATCAAAGCATCTTGTTATTTCTAAGGACAAAAGTTGCAAGAAATATTTTTCACAGACTTCATTAATAAAACACACAAGTTTGTTCTTGAATTCATCAGCAGAATGCTTCTGGTCTAAAAATCTTACAGGCACTTTTCTCATTCTTGATGTCAGAACACATTGACGGTACAGAACTTCCTCTGGACAACAGAAACGTATGTACATTGTAAAGCATTATCCCACTCACTAAAATACAGCTTAAGAACAGACCAATTTCAAAAAAACCCTATATTTTCACTGTGGAACAGAAGCAGCGCACAGTCAGAAAGTTTACCTCACCTTACACCCTACTTTTCTCTTTACACAAGGAAAAAGAGCAAGTAAAGCACAAAAGAGACAAAATTCACATTAGCAAAGCTGTTTCTCACACCTTGTTTAAGCTTCATTTGGAATACTGTGAGTGGTGATGAATGATATACCTTAGTAACTACGCTGAAATCATAACTAACAGGATTCCATTTCTTATAACAGTATGCCTACCATTATCTAAATGAATACAATTCAAACTGGAAGGTCAAACACAGAAATGATCACTGGATTTTAGTTTAAAAATGCTTGTAAATTCTATGACCATTTTAAGCTACGTGTTTATTATACAGAGAAGTAGGTATTTATCATTGCACACCTGCATTTCTTAACTTTAATATAGTATTCAGACTCTTAGCCACTGGAATTTAAAAATCCATTCAAAGACTGAATGCCAAGGTAAGTGCAGTCTCTATCAAATACAGAGGAAATCTCCAACATTAAGACATTGCTGATTTATACATATGTGGAATTGTAACCCTGCTCGCATACACTCTGTCCTCCTCCCAAGCCTACAACCAAAAACAGATGGGTCTGAAGGATACAAGGCATACAAGTTGCTGAGATGTTTTCCCTCAAAGCTCTTCACTGGTACCAAAACCAAAGAGGCAATATAAGCCAACAGCCTGATGAGCTGTCGCACATTGAACAGGACATGGCTTAAGTGGAAAACAACTTCCTTCAGAGATGGCAGCAGAGCCATCTTCAAATAGGTTGTTAGACTCCACCTCTTACTAACTGGCCTTCATGCACAGACAAAGCTTCCTATTTCAACCCAAAGGCTGAATAAGAATTGAATTTGATTTATCCAAAGGCTAAATCAGAACTGAATGTCTGGGAGCTCTCGGGTTGCAGAAATAAACGACAGCGGTCTAAATTACCCCTAAATTACCTGAAAACACTTCAGGTTCGTTCTCTATAGATACTGGTCAACCAGCTGTTAAAAAACAACTTTGGTTAAATCTTCTGTAATTTATTTCAATTAAATTAGAGTTTTCAACAAGAACAGAAGAGTTTCCATTAACAAGCAGGAAGGTTAGCTAACGTTAGACAAAAGGACAAAGCAGGATTGGAAAACAGACACTACAGAGGATTAAGTGCACCTCTGGGCTTACATTTTGTACAGAAGTGCTACAAAAATTCAGGCAAAAAAAATGACACAAATCTATCATCTCCAAATCAAGACTTTCAAAATCAATGCTGCAGCTATCTTCCCACCCACTCACCTATACAACAATGCCTCTCACTATGAAAGTGAAGAAAGTAGATGAAGAATAATTAATAGAATATATTAAAGATTCAGTGAACTCTCATAAGACTTTCTGGAAAGTTTGACTTGCATTGATTGTGAATATAATCAGATCTGAATCAGGCAAAAGAATATTACAAAATAGCATCAATTAACAGTTTCGAAGTTAACACATGTACACTTCTAACAAAATACATTACAAACAGAATAAGCCTACAAAATGTAACATTCTACTTGATGAAGTTGGAGTGAAACTTTTGTTTTCTTATTTTTCATTCTCTTTCAATGTTCTGACCACCTGTTCCAAGCATAACTAATAAAAATGTCATGACAACATGGACAAATTTCTATTTGAAATTTACCAACGCTATTTGAACATAAACAAAACTTACAAACATAGAAATAATCATCACTGCAATTTTACAAAATGCTTTAGCAGACCTCAGATATAATAATTCCCTGTTTATTATGCCCTAGCAGTCGAATGCTGAAATATTTTGAGCAGCAGTCTCCAAAAATTTATGTATAGCAGCAGCTAAGCATGCCTTCTTTTTCTGATATTAACAGATACTGTGCTTTTTCATCATTCCAAGAAGCTGGTTTTATATACAATCACAGAGAGTGGAGAAACAAAAGAGAAAAGCAATTACTACTTTGTTAATGGTTAATTGCCACTAGTACACATAGTCTACATATATATTTTCATTTTACATATACATAAAAGGGATATGTAGACCTAGCCACCTGAAAACTAAGAACTATTTTAACAAGCCAGTATCTACAGAGCATGTTTAAACTCTAATCTCCTGATTAATTTAACTGCACTAGAACAACCAGAACTGTGACAGAAGGAAGAAGGAAACAGATACAGATGTGCACATTAAAGATAACAAGCTATTGGTAAAAAAAACTTGTTTTTTTACTCTCAAATAACATCCCTCATCTCAAAGCAGATGTTTTCAAAGCAGGAACTCCACAGTGGACTGCAAATTACCGGTGCAATGTCAATGTCAATTAGGTGAATCTCAGCATCTCCCATGCAAACTGCAGCCACTGGATGATTTCATCACATGCTGTGCCCTCCATAATGGCACAAACTATTGATGCACCTGGAGGCATGCAAATGCTGCATCTGATGAGACAGTCCAGTGGCTCCTGTTTGCACAAAAGAGTGGAATGCTCCCATTAAAGTTAAGGAGGCTCCCAGAGGGGGGTTGCATTCCTATGCACATCAGTCTGTGTGAAAAAGCCTAGTCCCCTGGATCTTCCCAGAGAAGTGGTGGAGTCACCATCCCTGGAGGAGTTCAAGAAACATTCAGATGTTCTACTAAGGGACATGGTTAGTGGGAAATACTGGTGATAGGTGGATGGTTGGACTGGATGATCTTGAAGGTCTTTCCCAACCTTGGTGATGCTATGATTCTATGATCTGCCAACCACTGACACAGACAGCTTGAGAAGCATCCGAAGGATCTGGTCCTGATGAAAAAACATTAGTAATCCCCCTCAAGCATAAATCCTACTGTGTTAATGACAGCTTCTCACTGAAAATGAAAAACGTTTTGAGAGATGAAGCAGAAGTGCAAAGAATGGACCTTATCAGCACAAGACTCTCACTGTCACTGGCACACAGTGACTACCATGGAGTAACAGTTTCTTGCATAGATGAACTTGGAATACAACAGTGAAGGCTGGACTATGAGACTAATAAAAAAATGTACATTCCCCTGCAGACTTGAGTACTTTAAAAATACTCTAATAGGCTGTTTTACTTTTTCAAATGACTGTCAGAACAGAAAAAATCCACTTCCTTTAAAAAATAAAATTAAAAAAAAAAAAAAGATGAAACAATGATGATCTCTCTCACATACATTGTCCAGCAATTTGCAGGGTAATAGTCACTGAAAACACTGCAGACTGGCCTCCGAGAATCTCAGTTTGTGTTCTGGAATCCAAAGAGCATTCTAGTACCAATTACAGGACACAACTGCAGAGCTTAGACTTCTTTTTTTTTCTCTTGGTGGGTTCAACGTAACTGAGCAAATGATAAAGCAGTCAGGTTCGGAATCTTTACTGAATTAAAAGAACCAGTTTGGCATCCAAGCCATTACACAGACTGTAGCTATTGTGCAAAACTGATGGTGAACTACTAAAACTTTCAATTTTCAGTCTAGAAGAAAACTAATAGGAACATCAAATTATTCAAGTTATAACAATATCTCAGCTATCTCCTGGTGTTTTGCTCTACTGGGGAAACACAGAAACAATGGGGAAAATCAGTCATCCACTTTTCTTCCTACTTGATGATAAATGGTGTAAAACAACAGAGCATTAAAATTTAAGATCTATACGACATTTTTTAATATGTTTGATACAGTTTTTTGAGGTAAATCCTTCTGTCATATCTTCCAATAACAACTGCATAAAATGTCTTTGATCTGATTACTCTATCACAATTTTTGTGTATGCTTATATGTATATAAGTACTTCCAGTTCTTACATGAATTGTTAAACAAAACAAACAATATAAAATGATGTGTCAGCTAAGATTTAGTACTTAACACTGTAGTGTTTCTTTACTATGTAGAGAAGTGTGTAATACTGAACACTGTGAACTTCATACATGTCTTGGAGTTAGCCCAACACTTCATTTTATGAATATCAGAAAATTCAAAAATAAAATAATAACGAAGTATTCTAAAACTGACCTTATTCCTACTCACTTTTATATCATTCCCATTTACATGACAGATGGAAAATCATCAAACACTTCATTAACCCTGCCTTTTGGGAGGAATATGTACATGACTCTCATTAAAGCCTATGAATATCTAAGATTGTGTGGATAATATAAAATATTCATGAAGTAAGTACAATAGGCTAAACAACATTAAAGAGTGCTGAGGTCTCTTCTACCTTTGTGAAATACATATATTTGTAGTACTTTTTAACATACATAAATGGAATAGCCTCAGCAAGAAACAAGACAGTTTGACTAGCACTCTACTGTGAAAGAAGCAGGATTCTCCTTGCTATCTGCAGTGGAGAAAACAAAGATCTACAAAGAACATACCTACAGTAAGCAACCCACTATCAGCTCCAGCAGATATGTCACAGCTGAATACTCACAACCACACATCCCACTCCTGTCCCCAACTAAAGGAAAAATCACTCAAAGGAATTTAAAAAGAATCACATAGAGAAGCGTAAGATTTTATCTGTATTAGATTTTCTTCCTCTAACAATTCTACCCAACGCTCACCTGATACTCAAATTCCTTAGTACTACACCACATATAATTTTCTTGTATGAATCAAGTAAAAAATTTGATTATTTTAAATGATCTTAACACACAGCTCTGTGTGCAGTTAAGACATAAATTAAGACTATCAATTTATACTCATGTTCTCAACAAGCTTTTTTAAAAGCACATAAGAAAAATCTTTATTAATTCCCAGCCATGATTTACCAGTGCTTAAGCTTCACAATCAACTGATGCTGTTGCTCCATCCACAGGAACGTGCTAAAAAGCCTGATCTACTAATGGTAACAATCTATATTGAACAGGTGGTCTTTCAAAAATTAACTACTCTAAATTTAACTTCTTTGACTCACGTAATTTCACCTCAGTTTGCTACCATTTTCACAGTGCAAAATGTATCGTGTCAAATGCTGAAGTGAAGCCTATATCAGAACAAGAACATTCTGTAAATCAGCAAAATTAAAGATCAGTCACAACCTCAAAATAAAAGATTCTCAATTTTCCTGAAAACTTTTCACGTTAATTAGGATGCAATAGAATCGTATGCCATGCACAATACATGGCATACACTTCACCACTATTTATAAAGAAAACATTTGAGTCATAAGAGGGAAAAAAAAACAAAAAACCCATCAAGGTTCTGAACTCATGATTTAACCAAATTACACTAATTTGAAGAATAAAACCTTATTTCCTGGCTGAGGAAAGCATGAATCTTTTGTCTTACAGATACATAGAAGCTTTTGATAAAGCAACAATTTACTGAAGAGGGAGAAGAGATCTCATTTTGTCGTCTGAAGCTGTCACCCATAGCCACTTTACTTTTCTAGCTTCAGGCCTACCCCAATATGATCATTAACTTTTTATTAAACAATTAATAAAATTACTTTAAAGAAATAAACACTACAAGGAAATCACCAGAAATGACTGTTTAAAAAAAAAAAAAAAGGATAAAACGAATCAATTTTATGAAGAAAACTATGACCTAAACACTGCATCTTTTTTTACTTTTTTTTTTTCCCCCAATGGTATCTACAATAAATTGCACCTTTCTTACTACTGACCAGGAAAGCCCGAGAATCTCAACAGAACTCCAGTGACCAAGCCTATTCCATTCATCACTGTTCTCTCAGTTCCAGTGAAGCAAGAGAAAAACAAAACTTCCCACAAAATAAAAACACCAAAACCAGCCCTTCTTCCATTCCCAAGAGAACAGCAGCCCCTTCCCACTCTCAAAAATCCAGCCAGAATTTACAGCTCTTTATAGCTCTGGGATTTTATGTCAGTTTTAAACATTCATGGCAAAGCACTTGTCTGTTCATGTACTGCTGCTCATGTTTAAAGCTTTCACCATACACAGTTATGGAAAAATTACTGAACAGCAGCTAAACAGAAACTTCTTTTGCCAACACTTTTCCCAGAGAAATGTAAAATTTGTTCACAACACAGGCTACTGACCATACATATGAAGAATTCATAGAAACCTGTCAAATCATACCATTTCATTCCCCTTGCTGATTGTGTTATAGGAAGCTAAACTAGTTTTTTCTGTAATTGCTTTTCTATTCAAGCAACTGCTGTGTTTGCAATGAGCACGTTACAGTCAAATATGAGATCCAGGACAGCATATCTTCTATCATCACATTTACACTATAAAAATTAAACTATTGTACACTAAAGTTGAAATATTCATTTATCAATAAAAAACCACAACATGCACTAATACTGTTAGTTTATTCCAACTTACCATTGAAAGGCATTGTAATGGAAGTAGACCAAACCAAGGCCATATAAAAAGGCAGCATTCTGTAAAGAAAAGAAACAGTGTTAGAATCCAAATAAACCAATATGACTGAATTGCAAGTACTTGTTCACTGTTCAATATTCAATTTCCATTGTAAGATATGCATATTTTAATTCCACATTGAGAAAGATGAACAAAAAAAAAAAAAAAAAAAAAAAAAAAAAAGGAATGAGATTTTAGAGGTTTAAAAAATAGATGAAACTCTGTAAAATTTGAAACTAAATTCTAAATTTAAATGTAGAGATTTATCTCTGGAGGAACAGTGACAATAATATGCAAGTACTTTTACATCAAGAGAAACTAATGTGCTTTGTTCTATTTGCAGAACAGCAGGGAAGCAAATGATGGTCTGGCAATTTAATACAACAAAAATGTTTTATAACCTAAGAATGCCACAGTTACAGTAATTTACATTCATGTAAAAATAAACAAAGATGCACACTTTAATTTCACTGCCTAGAGTAGAAGCTGAGTTAAAAGAATCTGAAAACATGCTCAAGGAACTTCTACTTTTTATCAATACTAAAAACACAGACCATCAGCTTCAAATTGAGGATACATGTTTCTTCATCATTAATCAAAGTGCTATCTTTGATTTTCTTATTTTGTAGTAAAAAGGAAAAAAAAAAGTACCACTTTTGTACCAAAAACTGATTTTCCACTTTTTTTTTGAAAGTGACACAACTACGGAGTTCAATGAATATTTACAAATAATTATTACATATTTCTTTAAATATGGAAAAATAAACAAACTGCTTTTCCTTTTGAAAAAATGTTATGCCACAGTATAATTATTTAGCAGCTATTCTATTATTTACAGAAGAAAACATATATGCTGCCTATGTCACAATTTTTCTTCTGTATGTTGCCATTTTTGAGAGACCATGAATTCATCCAAAATAAAAGGGCTCTGACACATGAACACAGATGAAATTTCTACTGTTGAAGATTCTTCTTCAAGATAATCTCTATTCCACTTCTATTCACTTCTTCAACAATATAATTTCTATGGAATGTCAGAAAAAGAATCTGAACAATGCATTAAACCAAACTGAAATACATAAGACATAGCCAATATTCTCCTAGAAAATAAGTGGTAACCAAAACCTAATTTGAAGAGCAACCATTCATCAGAAACAGAACCTAGTATTATGATTTCAATATATCTCGTTTGTATTTTCTAAATGCAAATTATAAATAGGGGAATCACCAAAGATCCATTCATGAATACAGTTGGAACACAGCTTTAGCAATGGATAGATTCCAAGAAAATGTTTTGGAATGACCAGATACTATGACTACCAGAGCACTGTACAAAGGGGGTGAAAAGGGAAGTACATAAACAATAAAAGATGATACGCTAATATTACCATAAAATTACATTCCAGTTCCAGTGACCAAAAGCACAATACGGACATTATAAACACACAGATCTTAAATTCCACACCCCATGTATTTCCAGTTACCCAAATGTGTTCTGGCAACAACAGACTAGGAATAAAGAAAAGCTCAAAAACAGAACATACAGAATGTCTTGGTCTAGAAGTCTTTTTAAACAAAGCAAGACAATAAGAGATATTTTCACATGTGCAACTTGGAAACCTGCAAAATACAATACACACCTACCAACCTTTACTCTGTTCAGTTCAGGCTTCTTTGCAGAACAGAAGATAACAAAATCGTGCAATGTTATTTGGAGATTCAACAACTGTGATTCAAGACCAAAATCCTCAATCACTACTGCATCACAACTGCAAAATTCATCACAACCACGAAAAAATATGCCAGATAACTAAAACTTCTTCAGTCTTCAAAGAATTTAATTTCCTCTTCTGATATCTATTAAAGTTCACAATACAGGTGAGTTATATACTCAGAATATTGATGTACCTCTTATTTTGATTCAAAGTGCTAATAATACTCAACATTGAAAGCATATGACAAGCCCAAAATACAAGTGATTTCTCCAAATCTACTAATGTATCAAATTTATATAAAGCTTTCAGGTTGTTCCTGCCCCAGTAAAATAAAAAACCACTATTACTGTTCTGTCCCTTGTTCTGTGGCTGGTTTCCTAATTTTTCTCATTCTTATTTTCATTTGGCCTTACAAAGCATTTGAAACTGACCTTATAAGCATGCTAAGATACCACTGTCTTCTCCATATAAAACAGGGTAAGATTTACGATTTCATAATAATTTACTGTCAATGTAAAGATGCAAATTCTGAAAAGTCAGCATGAAGCACATTCATCTGTTCTGAAATACTATAGCTCTAACTGAATATAACACCATGAGAACTGCTTGTTCATTATTTATTAGGTTTGCCGTAATAATTAAAAAATACTTTTTAATCTGGTCTTGAAGCTGGATGGGACTTTCACAAGGACTAGAAGACAATACAATGGCTCACTGTATGCAGTAGTTCCCCACCAAGCATTCAAGGTGAGTCACATATGAAGTTCATTACTTCAGTAACTGACTTTTCTGCCTCTATTGCAGAATACCATCAAGCTCAACATGCAGCCAATTCTAATTGGCAACAGCCAATATCAAAGGCTAGAACAGTTTACCACTTACAAGGACCAAGAAAGATCATGAGGGTTGCATTACAACACGAAATTTTCATCTAAAAATGTACTTTTTCTTGACATTGTAAGATTCTGTGACTCTGCATACTCTGACTTAAGAAAGCTGTTTTCATTTGACTCTGTTACTTGCTTTTGAATAGAAGTATATCACAAAAAGTATCTGCCCTATATTTCTCTTAAAGAGAAATTCTCTTTCTCTATAAACTTTTTTTAATTTAATCCTTGTCATTCAAGACCTTACTATAAAAAGCTGCTGATGGGAAATAAAAACCAATACTTTTTTTCCTCCAAACATTTTCCCATAAAAAACAGAAACTATGGAAAAGATTGTTATAAGATAATTTTCATGTTCCTCAGAACCTTCACAATTCCTAGGAACTCATTCTGAAATTCATTCCTCAGCTTTGAATATCCAAATGTAATTTTTATGTTATCAGATCTCTGTCTTCACAAAAATCTACAAGTTGCAAACTGAAACAGACTGTACCTCAAATTTGAAGTTGAACATCAGTCTCTTTCGTTCTACAGCTATGCTGCTATAAATCATACAAGTTAGAAATGCAGTTTCCAAGTTGGTGTCATTTGCATTTTCTACAACCTATTCAGAATGTTAAAATGTTTCATACCAACCACTAGATGGCTCAAATATCTCTTTCCATTTTTATAATCTTATGTAGTTAAAAAAGACTGTAGGGGTTATGTTGTAGATTTTGATACTCACAAGTACTCTTTTATACTTAGCAAAATTTCAGTTACATTTAACAACATATATTTTACTGACAGGTAACTCAGGAGACAAAAAGTTATCTTTTGTACCATTTTATGTAACTGAATTTCTGACGTGAAAAATCTATTTATTGGAGACCAATCTCAACTGAAGGCACTAAACAGGTTTTAAAATGACTGCACAGCATAACTATCATTCTGCGAAATCATAAGAGAATTTGAGAAAAATAATATACCTACCAGCTGATACCAAATCAGTTATTTAATTACCATATTAAACAATGAAATATAGCATGGACTTCCTAAAGCAGAATTTCTATGGATATTTTTGTTGAGGAAGATGATCAAATGTAATGCCAAAAGGCATGTTAAAAAGAGGATACTTTCCACAAAACTTCTTATCTTAACAGTGTCATTCCAGTGTGACATTCCAGAAAATGAGCTCTTATTCTCTCCAACATGGCATAATTACTCTGGAAGAGACCCGGCTGTGATATTCCCTGCCTGTAAGAGCAGGTTTTCCAGTGTCAATTGTCTGTCTCCGAGGAGTTAATTTCATTTTACAGAAGTGTTCAATTGGAAGACACTGAGTTCAGCAGCCTGACCACTTCAGCACTAACCAGAAGTTAGAGCCTATTATTGGGGGCATTGTACAAATGCCTTTTGAGCACAGACAAGAATGGAACATCATTATCAACTGCCCCTCTAGGAAGACGTTCCAATCTTTGACCACCCCCACAGCGAAGAAAATTTACCTCATTTTTTTAATATCTGCAATTAAATAATGAATTTTATGGAAACTCTATTGTTGTAGATAACTTTATCTTAAGACTGTGTTAAAAGAGAGGAATTTCTTCAAGAAAGATGAAAAACGACATACAAAATATTAAGTTTAACTAGTTCTCTAAAATAATGGAAAACTGTTGTTTATTAAGATGTTAGGGGAAGAACTACACTTAGATCTAGAAAATTAAATCTAATTGACTTACATTAGTGTCTTATGGAAAAAATGTAAATGTGGGGCTGGTATTAAATTTTCATTTATTTTTAATGAATTTGAAGTGAAAGTGAATAGATGTACTCCCAAACAGAAGACAAATTGAATGCTAGAATTTTTTAAGTACTAAAAAAACCATCTTGATTACCGAGCTATGATAGCAGGTAGAATTTCATGTGGTACTTTGAACTGAAGCATTATTTAAAATTATTTGTCTACAGCATCTCATGTATACACAGTTGATGTTTGAGAAGTTAATCTGAGTATCAAATAAGAAAACAGTACAGAAAGAAAATTTAGACACCAAAAAAACCCTAAAGCAATTTTATAAAGATACAGAAGACTATACTGAAAAACATGTCATTATATGAAAGGTAAGTATAGTTCAACTTGACATTTTGCTAGAATCTAATCATTCTCTTCTTAAACACAGAACAGCAGAATGAAATTCCAGATAAGTGATAGAAGTGTTTATGAGAACTATTTCCAGAGGAGACAGGAAGGAGGATGAATCAACATGTATGATGTAAAAAGGAATTCTGCAAACTTTTAGTACAAGAATAAGAGGGTATGCACTCACACCAAGGAGAAGCTGTTGTAGTTTAAAATTAATCTGCGGAACTTAACTTTGCAAGGTATCTCTAAATAAGTGCTCCCTAGAGTCATATAAAAGGATGTTGTATTAACAC